CAAATGCTACGAATGGGAGCGAGTTTTTAAAGTATTATTTAGTGAAATGTGATAAATTCTAAAGGATATTCGTTACTGTTACTACGGTGTAAATTAATGTTGAAAAAATGTGGTTGTGTTAGCAACTACTTGGATCATTTGTGAAATGCGGTGACGAGGTAAAAAATTCTTTAAAACTGTTGTTATGAAATATCTGAAAGAACCGTTACATTATTATCTTACAAAAATTGTCGCTTCAAACCAAGATGTTCCGATGGCTTTACAGTCATACTTCTTATAAATACCACTCAAATTTTCCTTTTAATTTCGAATATACCAAAACCTATCAGCCCGCAAATGAATGAAGTTTTATTGGCCATATTCGAATCGCCTCTGTTCTGCTTTGTTGAAGTTCGATTTCACTTATCAGAAAATGTGTAAAAGCAACAACAGACTCATTAAGTAGAAAAAGGCTTGTGCTTACTCAATTAAATCTATTTGCCAGTTACCAGTTGCTTGTTCGATTTGCGACTTTCGGAACTTTGGCAAATATTAATCTTAACTTTAGGCTAAAGAAGTTCCTGATGTTAAGTTGGCGGTAGACGCACTGCTACGAAATACAGCCTCTTTCAGAGCGATAATACTGGCATTGAGCTCGATAATGGTACACTCAAAGCTAGTCCGGAAAAGTCTGTCCTCACCAGAAATAGCATCAAGCTACTTCATTTTGACGATGAATCGTTTGGGTGTCTGATAATAGCTTAATTGTTAGCAACTGCAAAGCCGACCAGCTAGCCGTGGCCCGCTCATATCGAAATGGGCCCGAGTTGGATCTGTATTTCAATGGAATTCCAGCACTGCACCAATGTATTCTGCGTGAGCTTAGCAGGCGTTGGTCAACGATCTACTCTTGTGCGATTGCAAGGTCTTTTTGGCATAGATTAGAACACAGAAGATCTTCTGAACAACTTAATGGACATTGCCCAATAAGTATTCATTTGGTAAGGCTAAGAATCTTTACGGATGCAAGTTGTTAAAGTGCATTCCTGTTCAGGTCAATTTCTTACCCTAACCTAACCTATCTTCTTCTAAAAATCTATCTATATTCTTAAAAACTTGAATATATGTATTTAGTTGTATAGCCAAGGATGGAGAAAAAGGTCGGGTAAAGGAACGTTGCTTGGCCCAAATCGCCTCGACAAAAATGAATACGTTATGAGAGTGTAATTGCCACATATTGCCAGTCAAAAGAAGTTTAAACTAGTCTGAAATGTTAGCGAGGAAAAATTTGGTGCTCACACAAGTATAATGCATACTCGTATAGAGACAGCAAGTTGAATTCATTGGAGCCGCAATATCATTTTAATGATGGAAAAACAGTATTGAAGGCTTGGGAATAATATCACCCTTACCTTCGGTCAGCCAACATACAGTGGGGAGCAAAAGTGATTCCACGATCAACATTTCCATGTTTGAGCGCGTATAATAAATAAACGAATGAAGTAAATGACCAAAACTTTTTTTTTTTTTAATAATTTATTTGTAATAATTAGGCGTAAATAGCAAAATAGTAACAGAGGCAATGGCATAGTTATAATTCAAAAACAAAAAAAAAAAAAAAAAACGGCATGTACTCAGTTTTGCACCATCCGTTGAAAAAGAAATGAAATTCATTATTAATATTTTGTCCATAGACCCTTATTTTCTACGACACTTTTTACACGTTCTGGCATGCTCGCAACTAGATTTTCAACAATTCCTTTCGGAATATTATTGCACTCTAGTTCAACATGCTCCCAAAGATCGTTTAGGTTGGATGGGGCTGATTGATACAGTCCGAGCCGTCGCTTCACCATTGACCACAGGTTTTCAGTTGGATTGAGGTCGGGACTTTGCGCTGACCACTCCACCACCTTAAAATTTTGGTGTCCCAGCCATTCTTTTACAATTTTCGCAGTGTGCTTGGGATCCCCATCTTGCTGAAAAGTGATTTCATGCTCTGGATACGCCCGATGGTCAAGAAAATTGGAAGCTGGGTTTGCAAAATACTTAAACAATCTTCCTTACGCATAATCCCATCAATTTTGTGCAACGGTCCCACGTTCCAAAACGTGAAGCACCAGCAAGCCATTATGCTGCCTCCTCCATGTTTTACTGTTTGCTTCACGTGATGCCTTTGAAGCTTGTCATCGAGTCTACGCCAACAGTACTGTTTTCCATCCGATTGAAAACGGTTAAACTTGGATTCGTCAGACCAGATAACACGTTTCCAGTCTTCAACTGTCCAGTTTCTGTGTGCCTTTGCGAATTTTAGTCGTACCTTAACATTTTTCTCGGATAAAGCTGGTTTGTTTTTTTTTCACAGCTGCTACGTAACCAATCCTACCCAGCGCTCTTCTAGCTGTCCATTGACTTACTCCTTTATTCATTTCCTTAGAAGCCTCTGCTGGCGTTAAAAGCTTATTTTTTCTCATTTTGGACATCATAAGTCGAGCGTCAGAGTCTGTCAGGAGACGGCGGCGACCATTCAATATGTTTTCAACACAAACATTTTGTCTTTTCTGCACTTTGACTACCGCTGATTGACTAACTTGCAGTTTTTCAGCAATAGTGCGTGTCGAACAGCCACTCTTAGACAGGGAAACAATACTATTTTCTTTATCTGGAGACAGCTTCTTCATTTTTCAAGAACAAGTTAGAGACTAATTTTCATATTCAATAAATTGACTAAAAACTTGTGGAAAAGAGTGATTCTCTGAATTATGACAACGAATAATGAATAAAAAAATACATATAACGGTAAATCTCCAGGTCAATTGCTGCTAAGAAAGTAAGAACAGCAAAACTATGTGCGAATAACGGATGGTGCAAAACTGAGTACATGCCGTTTTTTTTTTTGTTTTTGAATTATAACTATGCCATTGCGTCTGTTACTATTTTGCTATTTACGCCTAATTGTTACAAATAACCTAGAAAGTTTTTGTCATTTACTTCATTCGTTTATTTTTTATGCGCGCTCAAACATGAAAATGTTGATCGTGGAATCACTTTTGCTAACCACTGTATATTTAATAATCTAATTAAATACCTTATGCAACATTGCTATTTTTCCATTGAAAATGTAACATTTTTGCAAAAAACACCAATGAGTACCAAGAAAAGTTTGGTCCCTAAACGGAATAGAAAATCGTATAAATATACTTTAATCTGCTTATGTTTTGCTAATCGCAATTTATTAATTTTAATGCACTTATCTAATTGCGACTTAGCGCCACAGCACGCCATCAAAGTATTAAGTGACCGAAGTGAGAAACTCCCCCCCAATCACCAGCTTTTCTCCACTGAGCCAGCTAAGCCAACAGCAATTTTGGGTAGCAATTTTCAGTTTAACGGTTGATGGTGCTTTTGATTGCGCATTATATTATTTGATTTGACACTGATGATGACCGGCACACACCCACTCACACGCACACATGCGCAAATATACTGCGAAACTTGGGCCACAGCGAAACCGCCATGCAAATCCACTTTACATACGAAAGATTCACAGGAAAGCGCACGAAGGCATTCTAATGAAAGTACAGCGTTACCCGCTTTCACACGCCGCAATGACAAGGGCGACTTGTCGACAGGGGTGTGGCTGTGTGGGCTCTGTCAAGTATATCATAGTCAATTTCCGAATGACAAAAAGTCAAAGGCATTCCGGGTGGTTAGACCAATGATACTCGAGAAAAGGGGTTGCGTGTGAACAGATAGGCAACAATAACACCAATAACAGCGTCGCCCTTAACAAACACACTCCGGCGCTGCCACCCCGCCATTTCTGATTAACCCACTCAGCCATACACACACACCACAATTGGCCGCATGGCATCAGCGCCGCCTGGTCGGTGTGTTTTTATGACAGATAAAGCTCGGCATTAAAATAATACAAAAAAGAAAGTTCAAATGGTTGCGAATGTGCATACCGCCGCAGCACGACGCGCCCGAAAGGGGTGACCGATAGCGTGCCACGGCGAGAGAGGAGAAATCGGCGGCGGCTTTAGGATCGAAGAAGATTAAATTTTTATTGGCAAAATAATGCGAGTAAAGCGCTGACGCACTGCAGGGTTGGCCTTTAAAAGGATATGCGTTCGCTTGTGACCAGTGGCGGTGTCAATGCTGCTGCTGCGTTGCTGTAGATGACGATAAACTTCGGGTTTTTACTCCATGCTAAATACATGCGCTCATACAAATCGGTGTATAAAATGTTATCTGTTGCTTAGCACGCGACTTTGCAGCCAAGCGCTGGCCACCAGCAGCACCGCTCACGCCCCAGCAGCGCATATAAATCTATTATTAGTTGACAGTGTATGTATGTGTGTGAGCCTGCATTAATGCACGCGTTCTTATCTATGCTCCTTCCACTCTTTATACTGGCTCTTTATTTTAAACCCTTTTGCTGTGCACTTTTAAACACTCGCTTTTATTGATTGATTTTTATGTGTAGACATACTCTTTCGCCAAAGTGGCGTTGGGCAATAAAGATTCTGATTAATTTCGATTTAACCAACCCCCTCTCACACTGCCAGCTCTTGGGTCAACATCATACTCGTACTCTTTGAGTCCGTTTTTATTCAATGGCTTTTTGGCCGTCGGGTGTGAAATTTAATTTAGTAATTTTATGGTCTGTTTTGATGGCAGCTTTCACAGCTGACCATAAATGTAAATATATTTGTTTGTTGTCTAATATTGAATATCGGCGCGCATTAAAAATTTTATGTGACCATTATTGATTCTCTCCGACTCTTATTTAGTGCAGCTGAGGAATGTGTGCCCCTGCACCAATTTGTTTATGCAAATTTTTTCAACAATCAATGATTATAATTTTATATAACTCTGTGTGAATTTCCATTAATGCATTAAGAGAAGAAACACCTTTTGCGCGTATACATATTGTCTACATAAAGACTATACACATAAAACATATGTGTATAGTTTTTGTAGGTATGTGTGGCTCAAACAGATATATGATTACTCACCTCTGCTATCAGCTGTCATCTCGTCTGTTGTTTCAGAACAATCACCTGTAACGAAAATGTTAAAATCGACATTAATGTGAAAGTTGTAACTCAAACCCCTGAATAAACTTAAATAAAAGTGTTACTATTTGAACAAGAAAATCTGAAATGTATCTATTTGTTATATAGTATATAACGTGAACTTGATATCTAGTCAGTATGGAAAAATTGACCCTAGAGGACATCAACTGAAAATTTTCACAAAGCGTGCTTTTAAAATGTGCTCAAACAAAAAGCCAAGATTAAAATTTGTTTTAAAATTGGTAAAACTTTTACCGAAACGTTTCAATTGATGAAACAAGTTTATGGCGCTGATTGCCTATCCCGTAGCAGAGTCTACTAATAGTTTCAACGTTTTCAAAGTGGTCGTGAGGACATAAATGACGATCAACATGTGGGCAAATCAAAACCCGTGATCACCGGAAATTCCATCCTAACTCTGCGTGAATTCATCAAAAATCAGCCGAAATTATTATTGAAATTCATGGCAATGGAATTGAACACCTCCAAAACATCGATTTATCAAATTTTGACCGAACACTTGGGCTCACGAAAGGTGTGCGCGCGGTTTGTTCCGCACAAATTGACGGACGACCAAAAATTGCTCAGAATCCAATATTCGATGCGACGATTGTGACAGATTATTTGACCAAAAATCGTATAGTAAACATTAACCACTCCTCGTATTCACCGTGCGAATTTTTTCTTTTGGGAAAAATGCAGTTTCTCATGAATGGGAAGTGTTATGCTGACGTAGAGGCCATTCAAAAGGCTTGCACCGGCATACTGGCGGCCATACCGGCTAACGAGCTAAAACACTTGTTGGACATGTTTTTGGACCGTGCAAAAAGCTGTTTTGAAGCAGAAGAAGACTATTTTGAAAAAAATAAATTAATTTTGCCGAAAAAAATATTTGTTGTTGTTTTTTCTTCTTAAAAGTCCTGTTTGCTTTGGAACGCACCTTGTATGTGCTTCCGTTCAGAACAGATCGGCCCAAGTTTGCTTAGTATGGTTGAACAGTTCGTATAGTTTGTTTATTTCTCTACATTCTAAGGAATATTAAAGAAGAATATAAGGAATGATCCATTTTTAGATTCTCCACATAAAAAAAAACACACAGAACCTTCAACTTTAATGGAGATTGTTTATTTTCGGTCTCAAGAACATTCTTTAGCATTAATTTTGTGAAGATTATTTCTTTAAATTGTTAGCCGCAGCTACATCACATAGACTTTAGACTTCACATATATCTCCACAGGAAAAAGTCTAACAATCTCAACGGCAAATCGACAGGCCCAAAACGTGAAATTATCTGTTCACCAAAATGTTCTTTCAATAAATCATTGAGTGGCGCAGTCTTGTGGGAACCAAATGTCGCCGTGATCACGAGCTTCATTATGGGGCGATAACAGTCGCCATTGACGGTTACGTTATCATTGGCATCATTTCTGAAGATATATGGACTGAAAATTTCACCGTAAACCACAGTTGAAATGTTTTTTCTGGGAGAAATGGCAGTTATTGAATATCTTCCGGTTGATTTTCGTCTAAAATGCGGAAATTTTATTTACATACCCATTGAGTCGGAAATGGGACTCATCGCTGAACAAAATTTACCTCGAAAACGTGTGGATCTTCTTGGCACTTCTCAAGAGCCCGTAGAGCAAAGCGATGTCGCTTAGATTTAAGTTTTCGACGTAAAGTATGTCAAATCGTCCCATATGTACACTCTCACTACGTACTGGAGTGTCTACTAGTCTATTCGACCGAATATTATTCAATAATGAATTTACAGAACGTGAATTTTCGTAATAAAGTTGAACGACGTGTAAACGTTATTCAGGCATAAGTCTTTAGATGATGAAATACCAAACAACAGTGAACAAAAATAAGATGACAGCTGTACAAGACTCACACTTGATCTGTCAAAAGTGGCCACTGAAAAACGTACCTCTACTTAGATCACCCGTTAAAAATTAGTAATAACGTTTCCCCACTCATACAACAGCGATAAAATTTACTTGTAAAAACCACAGCGTCCGATTTCCAGGAAAAACTTCTTGCATTTAAATATAATGTATTTAATTGATTGAACACAGCATTGAGCAGGGTATCAAAACGAGATGAAATCATAATTCTGCTGGTAGAAAAGTAAACACTAAAATTAAAAATGCCATGATAATACATCGTTTTCCGCGGAAACCGGGCAGCAGCTGCTCCACCGCCCACCAACGCCAACTGTTCGCTAGATTAAAGTTAATCCAAAGCAAGCCACCGACTTCAAGCCAACACGGCGCGATGGCTCACTGCACTCCAAGCGGACGATGGTGCGCTATATGTTGTTGTTGTTTCGCATATCAAAGACTTTAGTTCGCCCTCTTAACAAATTTACATTACAATCGCTACTGAGAATATGAGCGCTCATACATGCTTAGATAGCACTTGTGCGCTTGATTGTGTGTGTGTGTTTGTGTGCTTGATGTGCATATGTTTAATATATGCCATAATGGTTGGTTGTTTTTGTTGCGGTTATTGTTGATATCTTAAGGGAATAATAATTGTTTCAAGTGAAACAATGTGTATTTTTTCCAACTCGTATCGCATTGTACTCCATTATTGTTCGTAGTTAACTTGCTGATTGTATAAATGATTGTTTGCCTCAACGTATGTACATGTGTATGTGTGTGTGTATGTAAATACCAATGTTGGATTTACGCTACAAAAGCTCTCATATCCATATGGATATACTATATTCATGCACATATTTCGACAATTTCGCTGTTCGTTCTCCGCCGCTGGCCCCGACGTTTTTCCCCCAACTTCTTTGGCCGCGTCTTTTGCGCCCGATTTCGGCTTGAGCTCTGTGGCTTTTTTGGTGTTTTGGTGTTTTTGTATTTTTGTGTTTTGTGTTGAGAATGTGATTAAATTTTGCTGATATTCACTTCAAGGAATTATAATAACAATAATAACAACAATCCGCAGAATTCGTTGTTTTACTTTTTGTTTTTGTTTCCTCCTTCTTCATTTCTAGATCGTAGATACCGTATGCGCATACCCACATACATGCGCTAAACGCTTCCCCACAAATACATATGCAGTCATGTGCGTGTAAAATTGGCAGCGTGTGTGTGTGTGGGCTGTGCACGTGTTTCGGCGTTGTTTGTGTGTGTTTTTATAAATGAATGTATCCAACAGATAGTAAACTGATAACAATCCGAGTTGGAGTAGCAGAAGCAACAACAACAACAACACTCAGTATTCCCCTGTAGAGTGATGCAAGAATATGTAGGCAGGTCGGTCGGCTGACTGAGTGACTAGCCGGCTGTCGGGTTGGCTGGCAAGCGGCTTGGCCGTAAGGCTGCTCACCCGGCTGATCGTTTATTTGCTCGCTCACATGGTTGGCTAGCATATTTGCTGAGCTCAGCGTTTGGCAGACGGTAGGCAGGAAGTCCAACACTGTCAGGCGTGAATATAGTCAGTTACATATTAAGTATTCGTGCAGATGTTAGTCAGTCGATTTGGCAGTTATTTAGCAGTAATTTGAATTGCTTATGATTTGGTATGAGAAGTGTGCATGTAGTATATTATATGATATCTACAAGCCCATACAAGTGCATATATGAGTATGATAAATTAAAACCCAGCAGAGCTTCGGTTCACTCTTCGATTAATATGGGAGTGCTCCACTATATTTTGGCTGGGAATTGAAGATATTTTGTCTAAGAAAACGAATTGGATTTTATTCAATTTCAATATATAAAGTAATATGATAAAAGGAAACACAAAGTACTCTCGTTATTATTAAATGGTTTTTAAAATCTCTGGTCCCGAGGAATTAAATATAAATTTCACTGTAAGTAATATCGAAGCTTATTTGATTAGGTATATCTTTTTGCGCTCACTCAAGTGTTGATCTTTTATTTAGTTTCGTCCGACGTTTAGTGTAAATATTTTCTCAAAGCTCGGTCCACCGATATGCCTTATGTGGACTTTGTAATGACTTATGATGGTGGTATTTTTCATAGATCTTTATTTTCTATGTTAGCTTTAGAATTGAAAACGCTTTTACTTTTTTCAAAGATATGAGTTATCCAAATAACCTGTTCTTCTCTTGCTAATTTACAAGAAAAAGAAAAGAAGGAAGCAGATTCCAGCAAATAGTTTTTCAGTAAGGGCAACCCTGTTACTTTTACGAAGAATCTGGAAGCAAAGTTTTTGCTTGGAACACTTTAAACTGTTTTGTGCTTAAAACGGTATCTCTTCTCTATGGCTTGTGTATTTCTGTCTCAAACAGCTGCTCATGTTAAACAATACCCCCTCGTCGGAAAATTAGTTATATTCAGCCTCTTAGAGGAAGGGTATTATACAGTACTTGTATATGAAGTGTGTCCCAACGGTCTAACGCAAGATTTAAACTTGGAGATTCAAAGTGCAGCAAGGTCGTTTTCCACCTGGTCTTTCCAAAGGAGTGGATATCTTCCTCTTCCTCTGCTTCCACCGACGGGTACTGCGTCGAATACTCCCACAGCTGAAATGTTTTCATCCATTTCATCCATGACCTAGCCAGCGTAGTCTTGTCTCTTAATTCGCTGAAATATATTAATGCCGTCGTATATCTCGTACAACTCATGGTTCCATCAAATGCGATTTGCATCGTGGGCAACACGCAAAGGACCATAAATTTTTCACAAAACTTTTTTCTCGAAAACTCGTAACGTCGACTCATCAGATGTTGCCATCGTCCACACACTATATAGCTGGACGGGAATACTAACTGACTTAAACACGGGAGTTATGAGTGAAAAGAGCTGACAGTTTAGGCTTAGTAAAAATGGAGCGTTACTTAGAACGAAAACGTTGTTACTGAAAAATAATTCAAAAATTATGAAAGCTTCCCGACGCAATTCCAAATGCATCCAAAAAGTGTCACTCTTTGGTGTGAATTTTGGGCTGGGAGCCTTGTTTGAAAATTAATGGTGATATAACACCATTAGATTACTTTTTATGGGGTTATTTAAAATCATAGATCTAACAAGCTCAGAATCACGCTTGCTCTAAAGGCGGTAATTCAGTGTTGAATCAATGAAATTCAGTCACGTTTACGCAGAATAAAGTTCTTATGTGTAAAAAAATCCATGGAAGCCATTAGCTCGATGTGTTTTTCCACATCCTATATACTTTATGATCCAATAAAAAAATTACTAACGAAATACTATTTAATCCCAATCTTGCGTTACTTTTGGGACACTCTTTAAATTGCATTACTTCAAAATTGATTCGGGCTGCAAAAGCTCTCCAAATGTGTCCATTTAATCACTCTTAATATTACAATTCAATTAATTTCGATCTCATACACGTCAAACTTTACCATTTTTTATCACTTTCAATTCCGCCCATCTTTTTTTAACTTAGCCAAATCGTCGACTCCCCTTTTTTATAAATATGTATGGTCTAGTGAATTAAAATTTCTATTGATTTATATACATAATTTTATATCTACAAGAAAGAAAAACATTAACGTCGGTTCCACCAAAGCTATAATACCCTTCCAAATAAAAAGTTATCCAACAATAAATTGATTATTCAGTTTGAACGACAGCTATATGCTATAGTGGACTTTTTGGGGAGAAAAGAACTTGCGCAAATTGAGAACGTTATTTCAAAAACTAGTGAGTGAATTACTATGATATTTGAGAGATATTTTTACTTTTCTCTTCAGTTGGATATTCATCATGGCCGATATTAAGGGGTTGCAAGGGTTTCCTCGTTGAAAAAACGGTATTTAACAAAATTTTTTTTTCTCATACAAAAACGGAAATATTTTATTCGAATTTTTACTATTACACTATTAACAAAGAAATTCGGAAATGATAAAAAGATGCGCTCACGTTGGCAGGATAATCTAAAGTGAAAAAATACGTGTGTTAGTTAAAACTTTAACTTAAAACTAGCACGAAGGGGAAAAAAAACAAGGAAAAAAAAAACAAGTGAAAACCTTTTTTTAAATAGCTGTAATCAAAAAAATTATCCATCTAAGTCTCTAAGTATTGTATCTCAAAAATCTGTGTGAAATTTCATGAAGATCGGTTGAGTAGTTCACGAGAAAGCTTACCAACCGATTTCAAAAGCACAGTTTCAATTAACTTTTAATTATTTTTGAATAAAAAAAAACAAAGAGTTTTTCACTTACCAAACATTATTATTTTTACAAACCGCTATCCAACACTGTGCGCCAGCTGTGACTGCATGCTCAATATGCGCCCCTTATTTTTACGCTCTCTATCTTCACTTCACTTATTCGCTCACTAACACTATGCCGATATATCAGCGCACGATAATGAACACTTGGTGAGAGGAACGAGTGGGGTGTGCACCCCCACCAAAATGCTGGTTACTACTATGATGTGTGAGTGAATGTGTGTGTGTGTGCGAGAGTGCTTGTAGCAGCAGTCAGTCACATGCACAACAACACCACCAATACAGCGAAAAAGAAACACGCTGATTTTATCACCAGCAAATATACGAGAAGCGCAACAAAAATAAGAATAACAAAAAAAAAAAAAAAAACCGAAAAAACACGACAACAGCAGCAGAGTAGCAATGTTGAATGTTGACGATTTTTATCGCCGCATATTTTATAACTCAACACCGATATCAACGTATGTATGTTTGCGTGAAAACAATGCACGAATGGATTGTGGAGTGACGGAATGGCGTTTTTTTGTTGTTTTTTGTTTGCTAGATTGGATGTTTTTATTCACTTCGAAAGTTGAGTAATGCCGTTGTAATGCACTTGCGATTGGAAATACCGTAATTCACGCATAGCACTTTCACAGCTGCGAAATATTGATATAATTGTAACAAAAAAAAAACAATTTTTGGGCATACGAAATTATGAAATAGAACACTGTTTCCCCATTTAAGGCAATAAATTTATTAATATTTGCAATAATTAAAAAAGATGTAGTAAAAATTTTTTGCTTTTATTCCGCACTTCTACTTTGCTATTTCACTTGTTTTTGAGCAATTCTGCTTTGCTCAGCCCTTTCGCAACGAAATCTACTCGCATACATAGGCGCAGTAAACCAGCGCGTACGTGTGTTATACGCTTTTTATCACAGCATTGGCATCAACATACATTTGTTGTTGTTTTTCGCATTAGTCTGCATTTCGTATGTTTATCTTTTGCAGATTTAATTAGTGCATTTTTCGAAAATGTTGAATTTTACGCGCGCTTTTTGTGTCACAATACTCCGCGATTTGGGCCAAGTTAAGACAAACAACACACAATTGGAACGTACTTTATATGCACGAAAACAATACACGATTGAAAACAAAATCAAATAAATTCGTAGCAAGCGCGGCGCAGCGGATCACGACGTATCTTATTGAAATATTTTGGCGCCGACTGCAGCACGTTATGTTACTTGGTTCACGTTCTATGACCAACTGAAACGGCGACAATAAAATCATACTCAAGCGCGAGCGCACACACACAGCCGCCATCTGCACACATACACAGTGGTGTGGCAATTGCTTGCGGAGCGGAATTGTACACTCACTGCGTCAAAACGCGCTCTTAGCGCTGAGCGCCAGCAAGCGATTGAGTGAGCGCTGTGCTGTTTGTGGTCACATTTGTTGTTGGCTTACAGCACAGCTGATAGCTAAATGGGGCGCGCTGCTGGCAGCCACCAAAAGGGTTGAATTCTCGCTGCAGCGGCTGAAAGTAGGCGACAGCACAGGATGTGACGATTGAGCGCTTTGTGCGAAGTGAAAATATGGCTGCTGAGAGCGAGTAAGTTTTCACGCGTTTGCTGTTGGTTTGTTTAGTCAGCAGGATTATTACCAACCCCATTTTGGGCGTTTATCTTCGAACTTCTTCCTTATCAAGGAGCGCATTTGCCTTTCCTACAAAACTGCGTGTTCGTGCTGCTATCTTGGTCTGGTCGCCGCTTACTTTGCTTGTTTGTTTGCTGGCCAGCTGGCAAGCATGGTTACTTGGCTGTAGCGCTGCATACAATCGCTTTGTTTGCTCCAAAATTATTTTGTAAGCTGCGGTCGTAAGCTTTGCGCTTGTTTAGCGAAATATTACTATGTACTATCAGTTGAGCGTTCGTGTGTCGGCCAAGTAATCAGCATTGAAACCGCCCACCCGCTTGTCGTCCAACCGCTTGCTCCACTTGGCTGTCTGCCTGTTCACTGATACGCTCGCGCGCGCGCACACACACGCTTTCTGCCGACGCTTACCCCCATTGGCTTGTCGTTTACTCATTTACTTGCTCCATGTTCCATTTTATTTGTTTTTGTTTTGTTGTTTGATTTCAGTTACGAGTGAAGTTACACTCAAGTTGCACTGAATAGCAAGCCAGAAACAAAAAGGAGGGTATGAAAAACTGATAAAACGCTGATAAGCGCACAGCACAGCACAGCTAGATAACATCGCCCGAAAGCAGCTACAACAGCTGAAACTTTAGTGAAAACCCACACACAAACATGAACGCTTGGTCATGCGCACATGAGCATACAAATGCATCATTCCGACACATACTCGCAACATATTGAGTGTGGTGTACATCTGTATGTACGAGTATAGAAATGTGTTGTCAGTGAAATAACGAGTCAGTCAGTCAGCTAGCCGGGTAATCGCACAGTGTGCTAATTTGAGCAAATTTTAGAAATTTTTCGAATAAAAACACAACCTACCGTGTATGCATGCTGTGTTTCAAAACCCGGATTCGATCTTAGTTTCCGAGCAAAAAACGAATAGATGACGAGTATTGCACCGCGACCTTAGATCTATAGCGCCCTAAGAATGGTTTGTCTGAAACCATCGAGAGATTAGAAAACAGACTATGTTGAATATGTCGATATGTCTTCTTTACTAGCACTATGTTTCCTTGAAACTTGAAATCTTTTGAATATAATTAAAGTAAACCTAATGAAAATATATTATTTAGAGAGCGCAAAGCGATTTTTTTTTTGTATAAGAAAGCATGTACTCATTGATACCAAAGGTTCCGCACGGGAGCAGCAAAGTACCTGAATAGAATGTAGAATAAGATTAAAAATTACTGAGGCATATAGTTTTCAAGCCTAAAAGTTCTACCCTTTCCAAGATATCGGCATATTGTACAGTTTCAGGCGATGCTGTATCGATTATACAAGCGCGGATATACTTGTATGTATAAGAAATTACGTATATAAAATCGGAAAATCCGAAGAGTCGTCTTGTATATACAACGATGCGATCGAGGACGACGCTTAACAAACGGTTTTGAAGCGTATACGCTGGAGAAATAGCGAACTTCTTACTTTAGTTCGCCCCCTAAAAACTTGGCTCGATGAGCTTCCCGGCACTACTACAGCATTGGTATGCTAAGTTTACACACGGTGAAACTTCACACCGAAGGCAGCGAACGCAGTGGACGCCCAAAAGAGGTTGTTCCCGACGAAAACATAAAAACAATCAACAAAATTATTGTTAATGATCGTAAATTGAAATTTTACGAAATAGCAGACATTCTAAAAATATCAACTGAATCATATCGCTTATGAATAATTGGGTGTGAGAAAGCTTTCTGCTAAGAGGATGCCGCATGAGCCCATTTTTGACTAAAAACCACGAGGAGTTGATGATTCAGAGCAATATTTGGCGAAGTTCAAGCGTATTAACTTCGAGTTTTAGCGTCGATATATGGGAATGGATGAAAGAAAGCTTCATGATTTCACTCCGATGTGCAATTGACTGGCATTTGAGTGGACTGCACACGATGTACTCACTCCAAAGCGTGGAACAACGAATAGTTTTGATTGACCATCGGCAGCGAATATTACATAGCATTGGATCGTTCGCAGGACGAAATCGTCGGAAAACGGTCACAGATAAAACAAAAACAAAAGATAATACAGTTTCACTTAGACAATGCACTGTGTCACAAATCAGTGAAACAATGGCCAAAATCCATGAATTATGCTTCGACTTGCTTCCGCATTCACCGCATTCTCCAGATATGGCCAGCAGCGTCTATTTTCTGTTCTCAGATCTCAAAAGAACTTCTTGCTGGGAAAAAATTGTCGTAAAAGGAAGAGGTTATTGGGGAAACTGAGGCCTATTTTGCAACAACAACAAGCAAATCGTATTATAAAAATGGTATCGAGAAGTTGGAAGACCGCTGTAATCAGTATAACACATTTGAAGGTAAATATGTTGAATAAAAAACCTGTTATATTTAGCAAACCGATACACGGTTCATTACACATTATTTGGCAGCTATGAATGAACATATATAAACGCACATACAAACTGACAAACATGTATACACGCACATATAGATGGAAAATGTTGCATACTAATAATGCGAATGAATCGTCACTACGTCCAATGCCAATCGCAACATTTTGTGTCGAACTGTGGCCCAAGCCCGAATTGAAGCAAAATAAAACAAAACACGGCACACAGTCGTCGAAATGAGTTTTGTTTTGTATACTTTGTATCGGTAGATTTGTACTCGCATATGTCGGGTGTATGTAAGTATGTATGTATGTATGTGTTTTGGCTGTACGGCTGTGGCAAGTTGAGACGATGAGCGATGCTTTTGTGCGATAGCGAGTCTACAGCTAATGGAATTCTGATTATTGTGCGGCGATAAGGCGTTTCATATAATTGTATCTGTATCTGACGCTATACAATGCCACAACCGACCAACCGACCAGCCAAGCAACCAGTCAAACCGAAACCGAGCGCTGCTGTGAGGCAATGAGCGTACAGCGGACGCCGGACGATGAGCGAGTCACTACACTTGGCTAGCGGACCGTTGTATGTATGTATGTATGCAGCCGCCGCTGATAGTGCTGCGGCTGTTGTTGCTGCTGCCCGCCACCGTAGACGGATGTTTATCTATCTATCTGCCTGTGTCGGACGGTCGATCAGCCAACCGGCTGACTTGCTAGTCAGCCAACCGGCTGACTTGCTAGTCAGCCAACAAACAAATCAGCCGTCTTGACTGTGGGCAGCAAGTGAGTTGTGGCAGCGTGAAGTGAGCGGAATACGCGTGAGCGGTAAGATAGTGCGCGCTCATGCCCGCTTTGGCACTTCCTCTGGCCCCCCAACGGCTGATTTACACAGGGCCGCACACACACAGTCACATGTATTTGGACGTCCATGTATATCCTGCAATAAATGCTTGCGCTAGCTTGCTAAGTATGGTATATTTCGGCTTTGCTTAGCCGGAGCCGCTTATCAAATTTTTCTGATCAATTTTAATGTTGCTCTGCGTTCGCTTGTCCGCCACAACGTAAACTCTTATCGCTGTTTGCATTTTCTTGGCATTATAATAATAGCGCCGGTATCTTGGCGGTCGCATCACACAGGCACTCACACACACGCCTGACTGTGCAAATACTCATTCGCACTTGAGTTGCTTTTCGTTTTACTCAGCTACTCTCTGATTTTATTCTCTCTCTTTCTCTACTTGAGCACAATCTCTATCAAATATTTGTCTTATTTGATTTCTCTTATTTGTATTTGCCCAACAATCAGCTGTTCTATGTTGCGCATGCGCCTACTCAGCTACTGTACAATCCATCACTGTTGGCCCATGCCACCAGCACCACTCGCTCTACCACCACCATCAGCACCAGTGGCTGTCAACTAAAAGTAATGCCCAAAATTATAAACACCAACAGCCCTACAACAACAAGCAGGCTTACCATTACACATTTACAAACTTTTTTCACAACACCAGTGGTGTATTGTTGTTTTTGTCGTACATTGTTGACTTTTAATTAGATTCATTGGGAAATTTTCATTTTAGGGTTGTTGTGCGTATGCACTATCGCCAATTATCATACAACAGCTCACATACACTCACACTCATACACCTTTTGTATTCTATAATAACATAAAAGTGTGTGTGTGTGTGTATTTCTTCTTGCATATGTGTTGCTCTTTAATTGCTAAGCTCACTATCAAGTTGCCACAGGGGCTTACGTCTGCTGACGGCTGGCTGATAGGCACTGCCTTTGCTGGTGGGTGTCGCTTCACCGCTTTTGCGATAAACACATCATCCTCTGCTGGTATCTGTTTCACATTGATAAGCCGTAAGTCATTACTACAGGGGCGGATTCGAGCTCTGTTTGTTTGAAATGGCAATGGACTTTGTGCTCGTACACATTACAAACAGTTTCTGTGACCTGTTATGTTCGGCGCTTATCATTTAATCTGCATAGTTAGATTAAACTGTTATCAATTTTCGCTCAGAATTTTAAGTGAAGCAAAAAAACAAAATCGAGGCTATAATATCCTTCATAGGTTTTCTAACAACAACTAGCGGCCGTTTTCTATGGCAGATATATGCTCTAGTAGTCGATTTGAACAAGTTTTTCCGATATTACGCTGTTTACTTTAGAAACATGTCAAATTTAGCGAATGT